TGCATGCGCGACGCAGAGAGAGTGAAAAAGCAAATGTGGTAATTAATATTGCTATTTAAATATGACAGGCTCATAACTCGTAAGACATGGGAAATACAGTTGCAAATGGACTTTGCTTTTTCATTTGAAATGTGGCAGTCACTGTGCGTTCGCGAAAGCAAAAATGCAAACGGTAATGCAAGATTTGCAATTGCATTTGGATTATGTCACAATTTATGCGCCCACATGTGGAAAACGCAATTGAAAGTACAATTTGCAATTGCTTTTGAAAAAAGTCCTGAATATTCTTCCATAGATTTCGGGTTGTATATGACAGCAATGGAAAGAGCCTTGCTTTTGCCTGCAGCAACAAGGTCAGAATCACGTGTGTGCGAACTGGGTAAAAAAATCCTAGGACACCTGAGGGAGAGAGAATCATACTGAAACAGGACTGAAATATCCACGTAGATCTCTGCATGTGGGATAAGTGGGAAGAAACGTATTTTTAGCAGAAAATGAAAAATTAATCCTGCACAGACCTCTATAGTCGACTTTCATTGGAGGGACAGAAATTTGACAGGTTTAATTAAAAATACCTCAATTTGTGTTTAGAAGATAAACAAAAGTCTTATGGATTGGGAATGACAGAATGGGAATGATGACAGGCTTTTAATTTTGGGATAATTTTTTATATTTTAAAAGCATATTTCCAAAACAAGTTAACTAGATGACTTTGCACACCATAAAATACATTTATTTTCAGTCAGTTGGTATTGCTGACGTACCTTCAGAAGCAACGTTTTAGGTTTCGGGCCTCTCTTTTTAGGTCCATACATCTCCTGCTCCCGCTCTCTGTGTAAAAATACGAGTTGTTAAAAGGGTTTGTGATTATGTCAGTGTTTGCACTGTTTGTGCCAGTTTCAAACATCCTCTTGAGCAAAAGCATGACTACAAAGTTTTACTTCAGACTGTGACTTGAGTATTCATGTGATGTGGCTGCAGATGTCTGTGTGAATGCTTCCTGTGGGTATGCAGGAAAGAGTTCTTCAGAGATCTAGCTCTGAATCAGGGAGACCACTTCAAACAGAAGCGCCAACTGTCACAAACGAATTTAACGCTCATGATCGCATGAGTTGATATTTTGTAGAAGTCAATTTCCTTTGTTAATATGTTAATCAGGAGCAAAAATCCTCAACACACAACTCACTTTTGTTCAAATGCTGCAACGAGTCGTTCATCTAGGATGTTCTCCTCAGGTTCCCATGTGCTGTACCTGCAAAATATACAGAACATTTAACATCCATGACTTATTAGATATACAAAACTTAACTAATGAATCAAATTTCTGTTCACTTACTTTATTGCCCATCCTTTCCATTTCACTAGGTACTCCATCCGTCCCTATAGAAAAGTCAAAAGACAGAGCAGATTCAGTTCCCAACATTTCTGGAAGATATCTTTTATTGACGGAATATTTCATCATGATCAATCTGTCATTATTTACTCTCTTTCCTGCGGTTATTAAACCATATGCTGTTATTTTTTTTAATGAAACACGTGAAAATATATTCTTTAAGAATCTTTACTCAACGTGTTCTATACAGATGATGCTTTAGAGTTTAAAAACGCAGTGTAAATATATCATAAAACTAAAAGTAGTCCATATCCATTCATCCTTCAAACCGCTTGTCCTATTTAGGGTTGTGAATTAGTCAATATGACAAAACTAATTTAAGACTAGAGAACTTGAGATATACTCATGTGCACCACTTTTAAGATGCCTTTTCCATTGTATGGGAAAATTTTTCTTCAGTTCCACTGAAGATAGTAAGTCATGTAATCTTGGAAGAGAGTAAATGTTGACAAAAACGCCCCAAATTAGGGTAAACTACTCCTTTACATAATCCTGACCCCATAAATGCAATATTAAAATATGTCCATTCAGTAACGAACTCAATCAAATGTACGCGCATGCGTAGTGTAACACAAGATACAAAAAGTTCTTTCATGTATTTAGTATCAGGGGATGCTGGTCATTTGACAACCAACATTTTGTTCCGTACCGTCCCTGAAAAAAATCGCCGGTCGCACTGAAAACAAAAACAAACAGCAAGTTGAACGCAATAACGAGTGGTTGCTACGCGACGCGACGCACAGATAGCCTATAGAACGTAAACATTCCATTATAAATTTGCGAAACTATCATCCTGCAAACGCGCGAAATGCGCTGTTTGATTAATTATAACGCACTGTAAAGAGCTCCTCAGCTTAAGCTATAGTGCTAGCGTTCTAGTTGGGTAGCGTCGCGTCGCACGCCTGCAGTGTCGATGGGGTGTCAGACGAACCGGCCTTTGTCAAAAATTTGCACTCCGGGCAGACACAAAAAAGCTAACGAGCTAACAGCACCAGCTCCAGCTGGCGCCGCTCCAAGCTAAACGACCTTACACACTACACGGAGCTAAAAAATGAGCAACTGTCAAATTAGTGTCCTAAAAATGAATGCATACACAACTGCGCGTAATACGAGCGGTTTTATGATTGCATAGGAAAGCATGGTGCTCTGTTCAGTTCAGTGCACTGCGCTCGGTCTGCAGGGCTGAAGTTTAGTGCGTCTGTAGGCCGCAGTGAAAGGAAATAAAACGAGTTTTAATAATAAACACACTGACCTTACGGATGCGGCGCTTCAGGATGGCCTCAGCGGCAAACACTCGGTCCCCTGCCGCAGACAGCTCCATCTTTAGTGGGACAGCAGAGACGGGTTCTTCCGCGGAAGCAATGGAGAGATCCTGCGCCGTGGAGGAGTGAACCAAACACACGCGCGCGCGCGCGCCTCGAACACAGCGGCCCATGCAAGAATGCACTGGTCTACAGATAATAGACAGGGAAAAAAGAGGAAGAAGAACTATCTATCTATCTATCTATCTATCTACATAAATATTAGTGTACTTAATTTGTTTTTATATTACATTTTATTTAAAATCATTATATATCATTTTTAATATTTCATATCTATGTACTACATAAATATTAGTATACTTTGTATGTACAATTTATATGTAATTTTATTAAAGATTTATTATTATTATTATATGAATAATTATCTATCTATAGATATAATTATCTATATAATTGTACTATCTATCCATCCATCCATCCATCTATATATATATATATATATATATATATATATATATAAAAAATCAGTAGGCCTATACTTAATATTTATAGTTTTTTTTATTTTATTATATTTTACACATTTCAAAATCATAGGGGTAATGACAGAAATGAGAGTTGTTGTTAAAGAATATAATTGTTTTCCAAGCCCACGCAAGTGTATATAAAACACTTGTTTGGGTCTGAATGAAAAAGAGCCAAATGCATACATGTAAAGGTAAAGGCTTTATCAAAGGTTTCTGATCATTCACTGCACTGAGAAAAATGTTAAAATATTGGCAATTCAACACCAGTCCCGTCTCCTATCGCAGGTGTGCAGTGTTTACGGAAGGTGTCTAACCTCAGTCACACTTTTATTACTCTGCACTGTTCAATAATTCACAGGCCACACGGGTGACAATAGCTCACTGTTTCCCTCTCTCTCTCTCTCTCTCTCTCACACACACAAACACACTCACAAACGCGACGAGACAGGAGAGGACACAGGAGACAAGGGGGAGACAGCAGTGGGTCATCTGTCAGTCTGTTTGTTTGTTGTTTAGTCAGTGGATGTTGTTTATTTGTTTGTTGTACCACGGTGTCAGATCAGGATGTCAGGACAAAACAGTGATCAACTGCACCGCACCACTCTGGCCATTTATACGGTAAGCCTGAAGCCTCTCTCTACTAAGTGTGAATGATACACAATCACATGTACCTGTATTAACTGAGTAGAACAAGATTAATAAAGTACATGGACATTCATTTATATTTATAAGAAATTTGTTGCCTGTATGTTTTCAAAAATGTAATTCAGAAATAATAATTAAAAATAATTATTACATTGTTACAGCATGAAGCATAATTGTGTGTGTGTATATATATATATATGTGTGTGTGTATACATACATTATTATTTATAAAATATTCTATAAATGATAAAATATTAAAATTATAAAAAATTATAGAGAGAGTTTAATGATATAATGTAAAATATTACAAAGTTATTGTACATTTTATATAGAGAAAATACTATATATATATATATATATATATATATAAAAATCAGTATTTTTCAAAAGTGATTTTAGATATAGACCATTTTGTTGTGACAAACAGCAATCTGCAACCAAGGTAACAGATTGATGTGGAGCGACAATATGTGTTGACATTTGATCTGTTATCGGACTCTCATTCTTACACTGTTTGTCCATCCACTCAGAGCATAATGGAGCAGTTCAACCCAGGTCTGCAGAGACTGGCGGCACTGGGAAACAACTACATTCAGGCTTTCCAAGGCAAGTCAACTTGAGAAAGAATGAATGCAGTAGATGGTAAGACTGAAAAAGCTGAAAGGAGGAAGAAGGAAAGCAAAGTGGTTGAACTTTGGCCTGCTGGATGTAATTTATGATAATAAGTCAGCATTGCTGCAGCGTCATTGGCTGATTCAACATCATTGTTTAATGACTGTCTATTTTATGAGTCTTGAGTTTCACTAACTCACTAACTCGCTGTACTTGTGAAAGACTTTAATCTTTTGAAAGATGACAATCAAACAGTGTTCTATTAGTTTGATAATGATCTTTCAACAGATTAAAAAAAACAATAAAATAACTTTTTTATATATTGTTTTTGGTGATCGGAGAATGAATATTTGACTTGATATCAGCCCTTAAAGAATGGTGTTGCAAACAAAACTAAACCTTTCGCTTCAGCCCAAAGAAAAAAAGAGACAAAAATGGCCATTAAGAACAGGAAATAAAATGTGATTAAAACAAGACAACAAATCAGCAGATTAAACCAGACAAAATGTAAATATATAAATAATAAATTGTCTGTCTAACACGTCTTAAATGGTTGGTTCAACAACAAAATTACAATTTTGTCATCATATACTTCCATATGTCATTCCAGACCAGTATCACTTTCTTTTTCTGCAGAACACAAAAGAAACCAGATAGTTATGTGAAGACAAAACAGGCTTTTTAAAATCTTCCTTCACAGTAGCTCTCAAAACTCATTTACTGTTGCAAATATTAAAACATTTTCTAAATATATTTAAAATACGTTCGAATATTCAAATATATCATGCAGGTTTGTTGTATCAGGTTTGTTGTCATTGAATCCAATGTCACTGGCACAGTGGCAAGTTAAGAGTTAAGAGTAAACGATGGCAGAATTTGAATTTTTGTGTGAACTAGTCCTTTAATATCTTAATGAATTTAAATAAAATGTAACCTTTTAACTTCATTTTTAACTTAACCTTTAAAGTTTTAATAATTAATCTTGTTTTCAGGATGTTTAAATAGGATTACTTGTAAAACAAGATGTTAGAATTAGACTTACACTGTAAATGAATCAAAATATTAGTATACTTACCGTAATATCTATTTAATATTTTTACTTAATTTATTTTTATTTTATTTTATACATTTCAAAACCATTATATCATTATATGTCATAGTTCTATGTAATATTATATAATATACAAGATTTCATATTTTGTTAAATTGTAAATATGTTGTAAGGGTGTGCTTAGTGGATAATGAAGGAAATGAGAGAATATAAGAATATAATTGTTTTTCAAAGTAGCTTTATATAAAACATTTTTGTGTCTGTCTCAATGAAAATGAAAATGACTGAATAAAATAAAGCATCCACCAAATCCATAAATGTGACCCTGGGCCACCAAACCAGTCATAAGTAGCACAGGTATATTTGTAGCAATAGCCAACAATACATTGTATGGGTCAAAATGATCGATTTTTCTTTTATGCCAAAAATCATTAGGATATTAAATAAAGATCATGTTCCATGAAGATATTTTGTACATGTCCTACCATAAATAAATGCTGCTAAGAACTTAATTTGGACAACTTTAAAAGCGATTTTGTCAATATTTTGATTTTTTTGTACCCTAAGATTCCAGATTTTAAAATAGTTGTATACCAAATATTGTCCTATCCTAACAAACCATACATCAATGGAAAGCTTATTAAATAAAGATCATGTTCCATGAAGATATTTTGTACATGTCCTACCGTAAATAAATGCTGCTAAGAACTTAATTTGGACAACTTTAAAAGTGATTTTGTCAATATTTTGATTTTTTTGTACTCTAAGATTCCAGATTTTAAAATAGTTGTATACCAAATATTGTCCTATCCTAACAAACCATACATCAATGGAAAGCTTATTTATTCAGAGAAATTCTGAGAAATTTCGAGAAATTGACCCTTATGACTGGTTTTGTGGTCCATGGTCACAAATGTAATGTAAATAATGTCAAGCACTAGCAAAGCACTGCACTGAGAAAAATACAAAAATATAGGCGATCCAACACCAGTCCTGTCTCCTGTCTCATATTTAAATCACACAAGTTAGATTTGAGCACTACGATGGAAGGCAAAGAAGGGTTAACTTTTACTTTTTTGTGTGAACTAGTCTTTAATATCTAAATGAAGCTAATTGATCTTGTTTTATGGATGCTAAGATATTATTACTGTTAAAAAATCATACAGTGGTAAATTAATTAAATCTGTGTGTATATCTATAGCCCTGGCCCTCACCAGTGAGGCCTATTTCAATGCTCTGTCTAAGATGGGTGAACAGGCCATGCAGAGCATGTCATCGCGTTTGCTGGGTAAGCTTTTATTTCCTCTTATCATTTCCTTTCCTTTCACACTTTTAAATTACAGCAGGACACGTTTCTGTCAAACTCAGAGATTTTTGATACACAGTTCATTTTCATATTTTTCTGATTAATATGTACCTTCCATTGCAGGGACAGAGCGGGAAAGAAAGAGAGTTATGTGTGTTTATTGAGGGTGATAAATTGGGAGGGAGCCAGTGCCCTTCACACACTCATATTGTACTTTGCTCTTTTAAATTCACCATGTTCCTCCTCGGATCTCTCTTACACACATGAGTGTGTTTGTGTGTGTGTGTGTGTGTGTGTGTGTGTGCTTATTTATAGCTGACATCTATCACCCTGTTGTGGTTTAATGGAAACATTTCATAAAATTTCAATGGTGCTTTTGTTGCTATGAATCATATTTTATGACCACAGAGAGATGGTATGACGTATGACGTGGTATGATGTGTGTGTGTGTGTGTGTGTGTGCGTGTGAGTTTTGTAGTCAATATCAGATAACTGCACCTCCTCTGTGATGTTAAATAATAAATGATGACACAACGTCAGCTTGGCAGTGCAACCTTTCGAGGCTAATACTTGCACTTTAACACATGGACACTCAAGCAGAGACTGTAATGTTTGTTTTGCAGGTGATGTTTTGGTCCAGATCTCAGACAGTCAGAGGAGACTCACCAATGAGCTGGAGGGAGTGGTGCGTTACCGATCCTCCTCTATTGACCCATCATTCGATATCTTCTGCTCCTATGACGATGTTGACATAATGCATGTTTGATTGTCTGTACGGCCAATCCCATGTTTAACGAGTCTGTGTGATTGATTCAGTTCCGCTGGTTCCACTCCGAGGTCCTTCGAGAGATGGACGACAATGTCAGACTAGATAAAGAATACATATTGGTGAGTTGTTTGGTATATTTTGCAAATGCAAGCAAACAATGTACATTTTAAGAACAGAAAACATGCATAAACACCCGTTTTTCTTAAAAATACAACTAAAAGTAGGAGCA